AGGGGGGTGACGGTGTGGATGGCCCAGCCACAGACACACAAGTGGAAGGATGGCTCATCACCCCAGGTGTGAACACACTACCCAGACTGGTGGTCCGAGGGCCATGAGGCCTGTGTGTGTAATATACTTCTAAGTTCATGGATCATTCGCGAAGTTCATGGCTCATCCTTCTCTTTGGACAAGAACGTCGCTCTGATGAATGTACACGGGAAATCCTTGACGCTCGTGAACCTTGCTACGGGCAGCATCAGCCGAGAACCCGGAGGACTGTCTGCCTCACACTTCTCGTCGTGTGACGCAGATGGTCCTGGTCCTGAGCCGTCAGGGCTCTGGCTTGGCAGAGGCTGTGAGACTCACGTCTGTGTGCACGGACGCCCCTGGTGAGCACAGCTCTCTGACTGAAACCCGAACTCTTGTGGAATTCGAGTTGGGGCAGGGAGTCTCACTGCCGACATGTGGCGTCGTCTGAGCCCCTGCCAAGTGTTGTCCTTACCTCCCTTTGCCATCATGTCCTGTCCCCATGAGGGCACGTAAAGATAAGCAACGTGATTTTTCTTCGACATTACTAATAGTGTTAAGGGTTTTTTTTCCTGCCCTAGTGTGCAGGTGCTCACTAGAGAGACACCGTGAGAGAGAAAAAGTGAGAAAGCACCCCCCGCGGGGATGGCCATGCCACAGTCCCTTCCTCCTCCTCTCTCCTCTCAGAATTTTGAGCACATGATGCATGTGCCAGGCATGATTTTCAAGCCATCATGTCCGGGGCTTGAATCATGTTGGCCATGGGGGTCAGCGCCTTAACCACTGCCACCTGCTGGTTCCAGTCGTGTTTAATTCTTAGCTGGCTTGCCACGATGACTTCAAAAAGAAATAATTAAAGGACAAAGAATGGTGAGCAGTAAGTTGCAGCGCTCACGGTCCTGTCTCGCCCCATCTGGACTATTTCTCCGAGAAGTGATCAAATGGCAAAAATCACCTCTTCCCAAAAGATTCGGGTCATTCCCCAAACCACCCACAAATGGGCCTGGGACTCGAAACACAAAAACCTTCAAGCCTTTTTCTTTCAGGAAAAGTCGTTACTTCCAGACAGAACTTTCTCATGGAAACCTGCCGAAGGCCTTGAGAAATGAGTGGGCAGCGGAGAGGACCCCCCCACCCCCAGAAGGAGTGGATCACAGACGCCACCCTGGCCAACATGGACAGTGGACGGTGGAGGCGACAAGGCTGGTCCTCTCCACGCCCTGTTTCTCCAACTTGGAGCGCCCCAGGCGTCTGAGAGACCTGGAGTTGGAGGGTCCTTGGAGAGCTGGTTCCCTTTCTTTGCCTTCCATTGCCAGTTCCCTCCCTTGCAGGTGAAATTGGAGATGCCAAGGGCGGGTGTGAAACAGCGGCAGCTTCTGGGTCTGGGTCAGAGGCTAACCTGAATGGCAGATTTCCTTGGTAACCTGGGTGGAGGTTTGAGCCATAGTGGGATTGGAATGAGGCACTTGGGGTCAGCTCCAAATGCCACTGTGAACTGGGCAGACAGACACCCACCATCCTCACCCCCAACCCCCAGTACCCACCTGCACTGCCAGCGACCACGACCACGGCTTCTCCGCTCTCCCTCCCGTTTTGCCTTCAGGGCAGGGCAATAAAAAGCTCCCAGCTGTAGCTAGAGCCCATAAAATATACAAGGCCAGCCCCACCCTGTTGGCCCTGGCCGCTTCCACAGTCCTGGCCACAGCCTCGCCTTGGCTGCTGGGGAGGTCCCAGGCGGCCACAGGATGATGGCCAGTGGGCAGGAGGGTGGGAGACCCACAGCCTGGCCTACCACTAACTTCCAGGGACAAAAGGCTTGGATGGATTTCGGATTCCAGCTGTTGCATTTTCCAAGAACAGAACGCACTTGATACATCCCCCTGAAGTTTAGGTGGGGAGGCAGGGGGTGCCCTGGCCCCATCAGCTTCCCCTCCTGCCCCACCTGCCTCTGAGGAACTTGCTCAAGCTGGCTGAGTGAGGAAGGGCCCCTGTCTCCCGGTGGGTGAACACTCACCCCTCACAGGTCCACCTAAGGCCTGAGCTGGAGACACTCCGTGGTCTCGGGGCAGATCACTGAGGTGGGAATACAGATGCCCACCCTCTCCCCCACCCTTGCTGTCTAGGCATTTTACTGGGGCCCCAGCTGCTCTGCCAAGCTCCTGGTCTCTACAAGGAAGGAGAAGGAGAGGTGGCTGAGGCAAAGCCCTGGGCTTCCCTGCTGCTAGGCCACGCAACCTGCCTGACCTCTGTACCCCCAGCAACAGACCACTGGCCTCCTTCTGCTGGGAGAAGGGCTGGGGCGCTCAGGTCAGGAGACCCCTTGAATGCCTGACACCCACCCACCTCCTCCCAGTTTCCAGCTGTGGGTCACTGCACTTCCAGGCCCATTTCCTGATCACCACCCCCCCCCACCAGCAACGCACCCCACACACAGGGGCCAGGCCCACCTTCTGATCACTCTAGCCCTGATCTGGGCAAGCACATGGGGGCTCGCCCTGGGACCCCTGCTACAGGCATCCTGGCCTTCCAGAGCTGAGAGCTGCCCCTAGGCTTGGAAGGGACCAGGGACAGCCAGCTCCGCCCAGGAAAGTGAACGAGGGAGAGGAGAGCACAGAGCTGGGAGGCCTCGCAGCCTCCTCCTCAGTGCCCTGTACAAAGGTGAGAATAGAGGTTCAGAAACGGGAAGGAACTTGCTCTCTGTTACACAGCACCCTGGGGAGAACCCAGGACCTTGACACCTAGCCTGGGTCGTTTAGGCTAGAGCACGGAGACATTGCTTCAAGAAGGGAGTCGGGGGTGTTAAACTCACTCTCTGACAGAGGGCCCGCCAGCGGGGTGGACCCACCCATTTGGGACTGCTGAGGAGAGAGTGGGGAACGGAGCTGGTTAGCGGGTGCTAGTCTGGACACACCGGAATGAAGACTGAGCTGGGGGCAGCATGGAGTTTCGCAGGGTGGAATGAAGGGGGCTACGGTATGGGCGCTGGGGAGCAGAGCCAAGAGGAGTAGAGCAGCCCGGTGTGACCTTGGGTCCACACGTCCCCCTCTAGGCCAGCTGTCTTCCCATCTGCAGGCTTGGGTACGCCTGAGGCCCCGGGGAGCTCGAGCTCCAGGGTCGCACCGGCGGGCGAGGCGCCTCACCTTCTTGAAGTCGGCGACGAAGGAGACGAGGGTGCCGTCGGGCTGGCCCCATTTCCTGATCACCACCCCCCCCCCACCAGCAACGCACCCCACACACAGGGGCCAGGCCCACCTTCTGATCACTCTAGCCCTGATCTGGGCAAGCACATGGGGGCTCGCCCTGGGACCCCTGCTACAGGCATCCTGGCCTTCCAGAGCTGAGAGCTGCCCCTAGGCTTGGAAGGGACCAGGGACAGCCAGCTCCGCCCAGGAAAGTGAACGAGGGAGAGGAGAGCACAGAGCTGGGAGGCCTCGCAGCCTCCTCCTCAGTGCCCTGTACAAAGGTGAGAATAGAGGTTCAGAAACGGGAAGGAACTTGCTCTCTGTTACACAGCACCCTGGGGAGAACCCAGGACCTTGACACCTAGCCTGGGTCGTTTAGGCTAGAGCACGGAGACATTGCTTCAAGAAGGGAGTCGGGGTTGTTAAACTCACTCTCTGACAGAGGGCCCGCCAGCGGGGTGGACCCACCCATTTGGGACTGCTGAGGAGAGAGTGGGGAACGGAGCTGGTTAGCGGGTGCTAGTCTGGACACACCGGAATGAAGACTGAGCTGGGGGCAGCATGGAGTTTCGCAGGGTGGAATGAAGGGGGCTACGGTATGGGCGCTGGGGAGCAGAGCCAAGAGGAGTAGAGCAGCCCGGTGTGACCTTGGGTCCACACGTCCCCCTCTAGGCCAGCTGTCTTCCCATCTGCAGGCTTGGGTACGCCTGAGGCCCCGGGGAGCTCGAGCTCCAGGGTCGCACCGGCGGGCGAGGCGCCTCACCTTCTTGAAGTCGGCGACGAAGGAGACGAGGGTGCCGTCGGGCTGGCGCAGCTCCAGGCTGATGCTGTCGGCGTCGCTGTCCGCCTGCAGGCTCTCCTCGGTCACC